CCGCAAATATATATTCTTAAGGACATCAAAACCTAAAATAAAACTCCAGAAATGTGTACAATATGGGACCTTTAATGCCAAACTGTCTCCTTCCTAAAAGACTAACAATTGTATGTTGTCCGATATCCAGATTTGTCAGGAAACATCCCCGGATTTTTTTGAGAAAATGGTAGCGTCTGGTCATACCGATTCTGAGATCCATGCTCCTGTCATCCATGACACAATCACCAGTTCTCCCCCTGACAGTGACCTTCTGGGAGCTGTTCCCTTCAGCATCGCTACAGAATCGGCCTTCCAGTTTTCAGACGAGTCAGTCCTTGACGAACCCACTGAAGAGGACGTTACTGATATCTTCCCCGGCCAGCACGTTCCAGTCCAAGAAAGCCCCGCCCCTGAACCAGAGTCCAAAATCCCCTCCACTTCCAAACCATTCAGAGAAATAAGCTCTTCTCCAGATGTCCCTGTTGTTACCGCAGACATAAGCCCAATCCCTGAAATCAGTGATTCTTCTGCAGCCCATGTGCTTGATATTCATGCTGATGTACATCCTGCACCTGAAACCCCGCCTCTGGCCATGCCCTCTGAGACTGATACAGGATTTGGTTCCACAGTAGAAAGCCCCGCCCCTGACAGCCCTTATCCGGAAACCATTGGTTCAATTGAGACTGAGGAGGAGCCAACTTTTGAGAAAGAAGACATAGAGCTGCCAGAGAAATTCCCAGATGTAATCAGAGAACCAGGTATGAGGTTAAAAAAATGTTTATTAAGTAATACATGTGAATGAAGATTTTTCTTCCACCATTACTTCAGTTTCCACCCACTTTTACCATATTTCTGCTGATCTCGTTCTCCTGATTTTTTTCTATAATGTTCAGAATCTCTTGGTGCTGAACTTCCAGCAGGTCCCTCAGCAGAAGATGATGGTCTGAGGCTCAGACATGTGCAACCTACCATACTGCTGAAGCGAAGCTCAGACGAGGAGGAAGAGGAAGAGGAGTTCAACCTGCCAGCAAGGAAAGAGGAGAAACGAGGTTTCTCTTTGAATCATCTGATAGTAGGAGCATTGGTCCTGCTCTGTGTTGGATCCTTCTTTTTCTCCGGTGAGTTTTGAGTACACTGACACTGAAATAAAAAAAAAAGTCACAAATGTAAATCACATTCTGTAATTGTTCCTATGAAACAGATCTTGCATGCATCAGTTGTGCTGTGCATAACTGTTGAGTAATTCATATTTAGCCGATGGTTATGAGTACACACCTCATTTTACATTAAAGACTATTAATTTCCCATTTTCAGTGGTTACATTCATGTTGTTATGCCTCCAGGTTCTGTGGTTGACCTGTCTAATGGTAGGTTCATAGTTTGAGCTAGGTGGCAGTATATGCTTGTGTTTGAGCTGTGGATAGGAGTTGCCCTACAGTGCTGATGGTAGAGTTCGTTCCCATCGCATATTCAAATGTTAACAAATGAGTGGAGAAAAAGGTGCATTTACCTTAGGGCAGCTTATATCATCACCGCTGATGCACTGGGCTTAACAGCTGGTTGCTTCTACACCTCCCTTTTAAAGTTGAAGTGTGTAATTTCTGTGCCTCCTTTTGTCAAACAGCGTTCCAGTGCTCAAACATACAGGGAGTTTCCCAAACTTACACTTTTGTTCAGGCCACTCAAACAATCAGATTGCAGTTTGGTGTCACTTGGGGCAAGAAATTGCACACTTCACCTTTGTATTCGTTTAGTTTCAGCAGTGGCTGCCTCACCCTGAAATGGCTTAATGCTGAGATTCTGCTGACATGAAGTTTTTGTAGAGGATGCCAGGGTTACTAAATCAAAAGGCAACTCGATTAGGTTTTTGAGTAAAACTAAGTAAGATTTTTTTCATGTTTTTGTTCTCTTCTGCTTACCAACAGTGTTTTATTTGATGAAAAATACAGTAGAAACCGTAATATTGTGAAATATTATTATAATAAAAATCTTACTGACCCCAAACTTTTGAGCGTGTTACAGAGAGACCTGGTTCATATGTCCAGACACAACATGCATGTGAAAAACAATCTAACTCCAGAACTGTGTGACTGCTGTTGCATAAATTACACTGACTTTTACTTGCAGCGGTTGAGTTTTTGACACTAACAGTTTTGTAATTCACTTCATCTTGTCTGTGAAATCTCAAAGAACAGTACAAATCTTTTTTTTCTCTCCCACAGATGATTTTGAGGGTACAGAATTAAGTGACCAGGTTCGTGCATTGCTTTATTTTTTGTCTTTGCTCCGTTTCATTATTGCCAAATGTATACAAGTTGATTTCACCTGTGGCATTCTCTGATGACTTGTGTCTCTGTTTCCAGGAACTTCTTGATAAACTTGCTCAAGAGAATAAACAAATTAATATATTAGAGGCTCAGATTGAGGTTAGTCCTCTAAGTTCCTCAACTTTAACCTTATGACATTAAGTAAATCTCATGACATTAAAAGGGAAAACGTCATATACAAAGTCTTTTGGTTCTTTTTCTAAGTGAATGCAATTTTCCACTAAATGGCCTTGTTGCATTGTCTATAGGCTGTATTATTTTCAGATGTTGAACACTCATGGTTTTTCTTTGTCATTGATCAGTCACAGAAAGAGGAGTTGGACCAGGCTCTGAAAATGGCGGCAGATAAGCATAACACTGAGAAGGGAGCGCTGGAAAACCAGAACACTAAGATGAAAGAACAACTGTTTGAACTGCCTGGTTTAAAAGAAGAACTACAGACACTGAGAGCAAGAGTCGCTGAGCTCACAAAGCTTACCGGTATGATGAGAGAGAGTGGGAATGGCACATGAATAGTATTTGGAATGTTAAAACTCAACATTTAAATTTGGATGTAGTGGATAGGGTATGTAAATTTAACAGCCAAAAGACATCTTTTGGTTTAACAAGATGAGAATGAGGTTGTTAGCTTTTTTTTCTAGCTTTTACAGTACTTCAAAAGTTTGTTGTCAGTAAGATATATAAAAAAAAAAAATTATACTTTTATTTAGCAAGGACACATTAAATTGTTCAAAAGTGGCACTAAAGACATTTATAATGTTACAAAATATTTATATTTCAAATAAATGCTGTTATTTTGAACCCTCTATTCATCAGAGAATCCTGGGAAAAAAATCCATAATTTCACAAAAATATCACAAAAATATGAAGCTGCTTCCAACATTGATGATGATAAAAAATGTTTCCTGAACACCATCAAATCAGTATATTAGAATCATTTCTGAAGGATCATGTGAAGCTGAAGACTGGAGTAATGCCTGCTGAAAATTCACAGTAATAAATTATAATGTTACTGCTTTTACTTTATTGATCAAATAAATGCAGCCTTGGTGAGCAGAAGAGACTTTTTCAAAAACATTTTAAAAAATCTCACCAACCTCAAACTACTCAGAATAAATATTGTTAAAGGGGTCATATGATGCGATTTTTTTCCTTTTCCTTTCTCTTTGGAGTGTTACAAGCTCGTGGTGCATAAAGAAGATCTGTAAAGTTGCAAAGACTAAAGTCTCAAATCCAAAGAGATATTCTTTATAAAAGTTAAGAGTCAGCCACGCCTACCTAAAACGCCTCGTTCTAACACGCCCCCACATATCTACGTCGCTATGTGGGAAGATTTGCATAACGCCGCCCAAATGTTCACGCAAAGAAAGAAGGCGTAACTTTTATTCTCGCTGTAGTATTGTTGTTGCCGCCACCATGTCGTGAAGGCGCTGTGTGCTTCGTAGTGAAATCGAAACTACTTTGTTTGGCCTTCCAAAAGAGGAAGATATCGCTTCGTCATGCCTGGAGCTGATCCATGCTGGTTGCTGAGGACATACTACAATTTTGCGCTGTGGATCACCGGATCGGCTTTCACCCGCTTTTTTAGAACGATGAGCTTTGTAAAAATCTACGCGTTTCAGAAAGGCGGGGCATAGAGGAGAAACAATAATGTACAGTATGTGGAAACCGCATAAACACATTTCATTACACCAAATACACAAAATAATGTTCTTTTTAGCAGCATCATATGACCCCTTTAATATATATTGGTAATCAGCTGATATTAGAGATTTTCTAATTTATTGGTATCTGTCAATGTTAGATATTTAATTTGTGCATGCTCATGTCTTTTATTTTTACATTTAGATTACCTTTGCTGTCATCTAACCCTGTTAACACTAAAACACAAATAATTTAATAACACTGTTAAATGTAATCTTTAGCTAATCTCAAAATAAGTATCTTTTTCATACTTTCCATATTGTCTTACTGCACATTATAATATTATGATACCTAAATTCACTTGTAGTTAAAATGTCTAATATTAGTTTTAGTGTCTTATAATATTATGGATATAATATGGATTTTTTTGATAATTAAACCAGTCTTTTTACAATCCTACATCAAGATGAAATGTGGAAAAATATATATATATTTGGCAAAGACTGCAGTGCATTCTACTATTTTTTTTTATTTATTTTCTACTTCAGTTGAAGAAGATCTTCCACAACAGCTCAAAGACTCTGGCCCACCTTCCACTGCTGAGTCTAGTCTAGAAGGAACTGAGAAACACTGGGATAAGAAAGAAGAACTCAAGCGGCAGAAAACTCTTTTGGAGGAGAGCCGGAAGAGACTGGAGGGAATGAAGAAACAGGGCTGGAACAAGCAGGGTTTGAGGGAGAGCTTGATGGAAATACAGAAGAGACTCGAGAAACAGGTGGATCAGCTGGGCAAGCGGGAAGAGTGGAAGAGGAAACACCAAGAGCACAAAGGAGAAAAGAAGGAATGGGGCAGAAAGAAAGAACACGACAGTCGCTGGAAGAAAGATGAGGCAGAAAGGGGAAAAGAGTGGAAGCATGGTAAGGACAAAAGGAGAGACCATCTCAAGAAGTACAAAGAAGAGTGGGACCACAAGAAGGATGAGAGAAGGCAAGAGAGGGAACAGAGACAGAAGAAAAGACCTTGGGAAGCCAAACCTTCCAAGCATCATCATCATCATCACCACCATGAGCAGATAGACTTCTGGAAACACCAAGAAGAGAAGCTCAGGAGGAACCGACATCGTGCCGAAGGCTGCCATGGCGTATCCAACTGCGCTGATGCAGAGGGGCTTGTTCCTGTGACGCTTATAGAGTTTCAGGACCTCCTTGAGATCTACCTAAGCAAACTAGATGGTGTTCCACAGGAAAGCAAGGAGTCTCTCATCCGGCTCACTGCCCAGTTCTTCAGCGGCGGAGTTTTCGCCCACGACAAAATGCTCTTCAGTGAGTTCGCCGAGGACGTTGCAGATATCCTGGAAGATCTGGCAGATGGTTTAGAAGGCAAACAGCATGACAATGATTCCCTCGAAGAAGAGATGGAGGAGTTTGAGAAAGAGGCTCTGCTACAGTTCGCCGCCCCTTTGGAATAATTGGTGCTGCCCACCCCAGGAACTCGGTTGAACGGATGGAAAAATACACCACGTGAAGGAGAGCAAACGGAACAGTCTTACCCATTACTTTCCCCGTTCTTTACGGACTGTAGATGTAGTTTAATGCCTTGTGTGTGAGGAGTTTCTCTCTTTGGAGTCTTGTCATTAGTGAAGTCCCACATGTGCGTTGGGTGTTTTGTTGTAAGCTACCTCTGTTAGTCCTGTTCTTCAACGCCAAACCTTTTGACTCTTGCTTGCTGTGTAAAGTGTCAGTCATCTTAAGCATTAAGTGTTGCCACATGAATGAAACTGCTTCACTTGCAGATGGATTGGTCACCTAATACAAATGGAGTTGTGAACGAGATTAAAGGGATAGTTCACCCAAAAATGAAAATTTGATGTTTATAATGACGTCTTATGAAGCGAAACTATCAGTCTGTGCAAGAAACTGAACAGTATTTATATCGTTTTTTACCTCTGATTCACGCAATGTCCGAACTGTTCAAACTGTCCTGAGCATGTTCTCAACAGCAGGTGCGTAACACGTCGTCTTCTTCTTCTTGCTTTACGGCGGATCGCAGTTTCGATACTCGATGGTATCGAGGCATTTAGGTCGGTGCCTAAAATATATCTTTCTCGATACCCAGCCCTATCCAAGATGTAGGTGACGCTCTATCTACCATTGACACTCTATCTACAATCTCAATTAGAAGTGTCAATGGTCCACTTGAGAGATAGGTGGAGGTAATGCACTTATAAGTCTGCGCCTTTCGCGCCTGCTGTTGAGAATGCGCTCGATGCGGTCAGGACAGTTCGGACATTGCAGTAAATAAGAGGTAAAAAAACTATATAAATACTGTTCAGTTTTTTGCACAGACCGGTCGTTTTGTGTCTTTACACATCAATGTATCGTCACGAGCCGCAGGGTTTAATTAGGTTTTGTTTGTGTATGTTTTTTTGACTCAAAGCCGTGATTCACATTCACTTACATTATATGACTGACAGCCTGCAACGGTTTGAGTTAAAAATCTTCGTTTGTGTTCTACTGAAGAAACAAAGTCACCTACATCTTGGATGCCCTGGGGGTAAGCACGCAGATAAACACCAAATTTTAATTTTTGGGTGAACTATCCCTTTAACACTAAACTGGGTAAGTGCAATGAGATCGGTAGAGAATGCCTCTTTATAAGTTGTCTGAACAACCAAAATTGACTTAAAAATGATGTAGAATGTCAGGACTTTTATTTTAGCTGATTTTTTATTTATTTTTTATTATTAAAATCCTGGTTTCTTTGCACCTACCCCATGATTTCCTTACTAAGCTGATGTCAGACTGGTTTCTTTTTAAGTTTTGTTTTTGCCAGAGGTTTTAGAGGTCATTGTAAGCTTTCTTTTTTTCCGGTTTCTACCCCAACTCAAGTTCTGCTCACACTTAATGTAAAGGAAAAAAAGTAAAGTCTTTGAATGCTTTTTTTTTTTCTTTTTTTCTAGGAATTTGATATGTTAGCTTATGTGCCTTTACTAGTGAGCACAGAATGCTGGTACTGAAATCAACTCAAAACCACAATGAATGAAAATAGAGAAAGTTTCAATAATGGTTTTGTTTGCACTGTGGTGATGTGGACATTTATTTATATCCTCTTTCTATTTTAGGAAAACAGCCATTGTAGTGAATCATCAAGATCATTTGATTATAGCGGTGTTATTGTTTTGTTGCACTCTTTTGAGATGAAAACCATTGAATTTAGCCCTTTTCTTGTCTAATTTGTAAATACGAAGAAAAGGTTATTTAATGGAACTCATAATTTAAGTTATAATATGGCACAATGATATTTAATATGAAAGAAAATTTAATACAGTTTAAAAAAAAGGTATACAAGACCAAATGCCACAATGTATCAATATGAACAATTTTTGATGATTAATAAAATGATGTACCATTGCCATGAGAATTATTGAGATTTATTTTACAACTAACAAATCAGAAATGGGCGTTAACTTCAGGATGTCTGGTCTAATTTATTTTACCTTTAAAAATACCTCTACTTTAAATTTTTTTGTTTTATATTCTGTATAAAAGCACATTCAGTTCTGACCTCTAAAACTGATCTGTAGGAGACATATTAGTGAGGTCTTTGTATTTGTTCCAGCATGTCAGTTGATGCTGAGTAAGTTTTGACAGAGTTATCTGATGAAGTTTCCCTGATGGCAGATGTTTGGATTGACAACATTTAGGAAACCTGGTGTGTAGAGTAATCAACCTTCATGTGTTAGGGTATGCTTTGAAATAATCACAAATATAAATAGTACTTTTTCTCAGTATCATAAACCACAATGCCATTAATCTGTCGGATATAAACCGTATTTTGTCATCTGGATTACTATAAATGCATTGTGTGTAAGTGTGTGTGAAAGAGAGCCTAAACTACTTTGCTATGGAAACACTGAAGCAAGAGATAAGAACATCCTGACATGTGAAATGGAGCAGTGGGTGTGATTCTGGTTTTCCGCTGAGTTTGACGGTCAGACGAAGAGAATATAAGGTGAGATGTGGTCATTTACTCACCACAACAGTCAGAACATCATTCTTTGGCTCAGGTAAGCCTATGATATTTTTCTGTTTTCTACTGAATCCCATTTTTGGTTTGCATTGCATATACCTTCTTGCCCTTAAAAGTGTTAGTTCAGCCCAAAATGAACATTCTGTCAGTTTTTACTTATTCTCTTGCTCACCTTTCTGGCATCTAACAAAAAATGACTGGAGCATCCTCTGTTTTTTTTCTCCATACAATGACAGTAAATGGTGACCACGTGTTCTTGGTCCTCATCCACTTTCACTGTATGGAAAAAGAAGCTTGGACAGTCTGCTAAATATCTCCAAGTTATATGGATTTAAAGCATGGTGATTATGAGTAAATGGTTCTGAATCTTCATTTCTGAGTGAAATATTTTTATACCACAAAATGGGTATTTGATAACTGAAAAGGACTAACCTGTCAAGTACTTTTTTGTTTTCTAGCCACCTAACTATCCTACTCCAAAAGTCATGGAATCTGCCATTAACGTGCTCGTTTCCCAGTTCAAGACTTACGCAGGGAAGGATGGCTCTGCAAACACTCTGAGCAAAGAAGAGTTTCAGAGCTTGGTCACATCCCAGTTACCAAACTTTGTAAAGGTAAGCCTTTTGAGTTATTACAGTATATCCTATAGAATTTGTCGGCTTCATATCTATATATTCCTCAATTCAGGTCTACATACTTAAATATGTTTCCATTTAGAACCCATTTAGTTAAGAAAATCATCTGCTTTAAAAAAAAAATAATGATTCAGTACAATGATCTTAAAGAACTATAATCTAATATTAAGAACTTAAAAAAAAAAAATCTCCACAGAACCATAAAACCAACTCAAAAATGGTTCTTAATAAGAAGAGACATGTCTGCTGAATCTCAGGTGCCGCAAAGAACCTCTATTTTGAAGAGCTTTCAGCTACAATAAAATGGTTGTCTTACAGCATGCTAAATTGTAATATAGAATTTACTATACAATTTTTCAACCTGTGACCTTTAATAACAATATTTAGAAAATTGAAGATTGTTTAAATAAATAAATAATGGCCTTATTTCCAGTGCTTAACTGGTATTATGTGGTCTAAGAAAAATTAACCAAAATGGATAAGAATGCTGAATTTTACTATTAAGCATTATAAATAATGCTTTGAATTATTTAACATATATTTTTTAATTTAATGGACTTGTTTACAGTATTGGATTAATACTAATGCTGAATTTTACTATAAAATATTTTTTTAATCTGAGACCTCATTAATAATATAATATTTAGATAATTAAATTAAAGATTTTTAAAAATAAGTAAATAAATATATAATATAAATAATGGCCTTATTTACAGTGTTTGTAGGCTATTCTGTGTTCTGAGAAGAATGAGCCCAAAAGGATAAGAGCACCATTTCAGAGGTCTGATGTGAGTTATTAGTTAACCACATCCCAGTCCTCTAAAGCATTCCTTGTGAGTCACGTGTTTCTGATTTTATAGAGGAAATTACACAAATCCTTCCTATGCAAAAAAAAAATAAAGTCAGAGACTGACCTTATACTGCTAGCAAGTGTGAAAACAAACTGGCTGCTTTCAGCATGTTTACATCCTAACCAGATCTCTAAGGCTGGATACAATAGAAAAATGCCACATCAGAGCATTTTCTGTTTGGCCCATCCAAAACAGGAACTCCCCCCAAACTAATAGGTCAGCGGAAAAGAATGTGCAGTACCAGTGACAACCACTAGATGGAGCACTATCATTGCAAGTGCGTATAAATGCCTGTCCATCTTGTCTTCACCCACAGAATGCCTCTGACCCAGCCACCATTGATCAGCTCATGAACTCATTGGATGCGAATAACGATGGAGAGCTGACGTTCCTGGAGTTCTGGCAGCTGATTGGCAGTGTGGCGAACCAGCATGGTGCCTTTTAGCCAATAAAGAAACCTGAAGTATTAGTCTACTTGAAGAAAATCACTTTAATTTTACCTTGTGACTTTCTGATGTAATTATAACATTGCACAGTTAATGATTGTCCCAAGCAGGTGACGGCAAATAAAAGAAAGCATTGTTTAATTCTCCTGGTAATCTTGCCTTGCCTCTTTATTGGCCATGTCATATAAGATTCTCTGCACACCCTCCAATCTCTCCCACTCTTTTGTGTAGACAATATAACGCATCTGATTTAATAGCATCATTTTATGGCAACCCAACACCACCCTGAGGCCCTCAACTATCCGATTGCACAGCGGCTTAGTTTTAGATCTTAACAATTTCAGCTCCAGACAGCAGTCAGTTAAGAGACATCCTTATTGACACATTCAATCTCACACAATATAAAGCAGTTGCCTCGCATACAGGTGTGGCTTGGGGGAAGGGTGTTGGTTTCTTTTGGATTTGAAGGGAGATTTAGATCTTATTTGCATGTGCAAATATATCAAACTGAATACAACATTTCTGAGAATTTTGAATTGCCTGAAGAGCATTGGTTATCAGTGTTAAATCACCTGAAAAGATGCATTGAGATTTTAATTTTAAACCCATCATACTGGTTTGATGAGGTGGCAACAGGGGTCAGAGAGTTTAAATCTTACTGAACCAGTCACAGTTCCTGTGGGGTGCCTAAAAAACATTTTATGCAACAAAAATATAATATTTAAGATTAAGTCATAAGTGAACTTTGTAGCATAATCAGAGCTGCGAGGCATGACCATAGTCCACACAAAGCGAAGCCAGTCAGTACAAACCACTTTACATAGGCGGTGCCTCTTGTAAACACAGATAATCATAGTAAAGCGCTGGCACTGAGATATGATTCATTAGTCTATATGTCTCCCCTGAGGCCTGTTAAAGGCTGTCTGAAGATTTATCACAATACAATGCATTCCTGTTAGCATGAATTCGGACTAAATTCATTCCTGGGGCGTTAAAAAACAAATAAATAAAGAACGGTCTCAATATTGCATGTGTAGTGCATAACCAGTGTCAGAATTTTACTTTTTAAAAATGAATAGGGGCCATTATTTGCCCCCTGGAATTTATTTTCTGAATGTTTTTTTTTTTAATTTTTTTATCCTTGTTTTTTTACCAATATAAACAATATAAAGAGTGTAATTTTTTATGACACACTCTTAGGCTGATGATACACTCTAAAAAATGCTGGGTTAAATATAACCTGAAAAGATGCATTGAGATCACCTCAGAGTCGCCTTATATGTTTCAGAGTTAAATATAACCCAGCGCTGAGTTAAAAAGGGACAAACCCAGCTATTGGGTTGTTTTGACCCAGCAGTTGCGTTCAAAACAACCTAACCGCTGGGTCAAAACAACCCAATAGCTGGGTTTGTCCCTTTTTAACCCAGCATTTTTCAGAGTGTACATGAGGCAACTTTTTGAGCAATTTTGCTTGGCAACTTTTTTTTTAACAACGTTGCCTGGGCACTCTCCCATTGTGAATGGGTAACAAATTTCTATCTGGATACTTTAGATCAGTTGTGGACCCTGTGTCTCACCTGGTTGCCCATTGATGGCAACATTAGCCAAAGTTGGAGGCAACATTGCTCAAAAAGTTGCCCTGTGTATCATCAGCCTTGTAGTTAATTAATTTTAAAAAGCAATTTTATGATAGACCTAGCAATTATTCAGAAAACCAAATAAATAATTGTTCTCTCTATGTTTAGATTAAACAGCTCTTTAAAATGATGGAAGATTTTTTTATCCAGCTAACCGTGTGTGTGTGTTTTAATTTATTTTATATTTTAGCTACCAGCTAGAAACCACCTTATATGTTTCAGAGTCGCCAAATTCATTACTTTATAAGACTAATTTAAAATATATAAAATATTGTTACAGGTAAAGCAATAGGGCATTTTGCCCGGAGCCCTGCATGGTTAATTTCTGACACTCATGCAAACATTCCACAGGTAAGGGTTAAAGTTTTCCCACTAAAGCTCCAGACAAAACTCACCGTCCACTGCAATGATTCCCAGCTGGATTTCTGGTGTGAAACTACCAGAAATCATACTGTTGATTTTACAGCAGTAGAAAACATTAGAAATATCACATCTGTGAATCATCTCAAAACTCAAATGTCCTGTTTAAAGTAGCCAAATAAGTTCGTCCCCTAGTTCCCCTCCTCCAGGTACACGCCCTTTCATTTGTCAGAGTCAGGGGCAAAAAAAAAAAAAACGTTAAAGAAAAAAAAATCCAAATAAGTTCGTCCCCTAGTTCCCCTCCTCCAGGTACACGCCCTTTCATTTGTCAGAGTCAGGCGCAAAAAAACGTTAACGAAAAAAGAAAAAAAAAAAAAAAAATCACGGAAGAGATTCGGCAGCGGTTCGAGTCTGACAAGTTTTTTTTTCTTTTGAGGTAGGCGAGGGAAGAAAGGGGAAAGGAACAAATAGAGGTTTTACTGCAGCTACTGCGAACTGTCAGTCCGTGCTGTCCCCATTTTAGGGTAAGTGCTCTAAAATCCGTTTCTTTCACTTTAAAGGCTTATTTAAACACAAAACTTTGCAGTTTTGAAAATGTGAGAGCTTTCGTAGAGTGTCAACGCCACGTTTTGGGAACACCCTTCGACCATCCTCAGCCAGCTGGATCTGAAGACATCTGCCGTTTTCGCACACAGTTAAAGCGTCTTTATTGTGAATATACGGAGCTATATACAGATAAATACACTTCTGTGGTTTGACGCGTTGTTAATGGCGACGATTTATTACGAGTGCACGCGCGAACAATGACAACGTCCTTGATGAAAATCTTATGCGGCTGTTTGTATTGCATTGCTATTTTAAACTTCTTAATCTTAAATTGAGTATAATCTTTTAAGATTATTGTGAAGTTATCGTTATTTAAAAAATATAAGTTGAATATAATCTTTTGTTGACGTTATTTTAAATACTAAAAAATGTAAATATAAAAACAAATCTAAACAAAAAACTACATATTAGGATAAAAAATGCCAAATGTTTATTTTTTTTTATATTTCTAATATAATTATAGTAAACTTAAGTGTAGATGCTTGAAGATCATGACATTTTGAGTCTCCTCTGCCTGTTAATCAATTCCAAGTCAGAATAACACTTGTCAGAAAAGAGAGGCGTTTAACAAAAGCGTGATTTCAAGGTGAAGAAAATAAGAACTACCTCGAGATTGTTCCCCACGAGTTTTTATGCACTGGCAAAGTTGTTCCTGTGTGAATTTTTAATGGCGCATATCACGTTCGCCAGTTTGGAAACAATCTCTTTTGCGCATTGGAGAGAAACGGCAGAGTGGACGCTGTTAAACTGCATATGTCTGTGTCCCATTTTCGTTTTTTGAGTGTGTGTGAGCGTATTTATTTATTCATTTCGCCCAGGAACAGTACAAGGTCATGTCTGTTTTGGAGAGAGTCATTTAAGTAATGGAAGATCTCTCTTCATTACTTATTATGAACCCATCCACGTGCTGTCTGTCTGAGGGAGTTTTGGGTTAAAGCTTGAGACTGTCTAGGGTGGCAAGCGCAGAATTGCCAGGTCAGGGGTCAAAGACGTCAATAATTCATATGACTTCACGACTGGCACTGGATAGGGTTGAGACCCAGGGTTGAAAGAGTCAACCGGATCAATGAACGGTGCCTATAGTCACTTGAAATATGATTGTGGAGACAAGGTGTGTAAGACTTGTGACAACAGCACAGCATTGACTTCTACAGAGCAACGGCCCTTTGATCTAGGGCACATGTAGACATAGTTTGTCCTGTGGATAACGGCTGACTGTATCCGGACTGTACAGTAGGGGCTGTGTCTCAAACCTACAGTGTTGTGCCACCTGCATAGATGTTCCCTTTCAGTTAGGATGCTATTTTCTGTGTACACAGGTGCTGGTGCAGTAAACTGTGAGTCTAGGTCTTAAAAAATAGATCTTTTTATGATAATGCTGTCTAGGTAGGCAGCTCACTAGGTTTTAAGACACAGCCTAGAGAAAGTAACTTATATAATGTACTTTTGAAACTAGGCTAATCTTTTTATGACTTAAAAGTGTGTTTCGGTCATCTTTACTAGTTCAAAATATTATAGGTTACAACAACAAAAGTCATTTTTAAGGGTCAAATCAGGTCAAATAGAACCTAAAGGTAACAACTGTGTTTACACTTTAAAAAGAAAAACATTAAGATTTTCTCTTTGGTTGCATGAACCATATTTTTCACATTTAAAACTTGTTTTTCTTTAATGCCAAGTTTAAATATAATATTTGCCATTTTTTCTTTATAGTATTAGCAAACAAACAGCAATTTTGTTTAGTCAAAGACCATCTTATAAATGTTATCATAGACAGCATTTTTGGCATCATACACTCAAAATAAAGGTTCTTTATTGGTAAGAAACTTTAACATCCATGGAACCTTTCCATTCCACAAAAGGTTTTTTATAATGGGGAAAAAAGGTTCTTCAGCTGATTAAAATGCTATTCACAATAAGAAAACTATACGTTCACCCAAAAATGGTTCTACTATGGCAGTGCTGCAAAAAAAACTTATTTTTAAGAGTTTATCGGTGCAGTGTGTGTCAAAACATGTCTGTGATGCCAAAAAATTAGGTCTAGAAAAACGGTCTGCTGGGCTTTGAGACATAGTTATTGTTTTACCAGAATGAAGATGGTGCACGAGTATGTAGCATTCATATTTGACAGCCTATAGGAAGTATAGTTTATTCCTGCATTGTGACATCATTAGCTGAGTGTCTGTGTGCCGTAGAAGTAGAAAACTATTTCCTGCATCATTCCACCTGACAGTATAGTGTAAAAGACTCCTTCTCACTTTCAAACACCCTATGAAACCAGAAGCTTTAATATGCGTACTGCGTCATCTCTGTATCTCCTTCTCTCTCATTAAATTAGGCTAATGGTCATGTTTCTTAATTGCTTACTACCTGTCGATGTGGTTATTACTGCTGATAAGAGGAAACTCTGTGTGAATTTATGTCAGCTAATTTGGCAGCATCAGAAACCGTCTCGGATGACAAACGTAGCTACACAGATTTTGACCTGCAATAACAGCTCAGAGGGCTTCTTTGCTGACCGCTGGACGTCACTGGTTTGTTTTACGTCTTTGTTTGTACAGCTATGCAAATGATAAGGTTTCAGTCCTCATCTAACGAGCAAGCCGTAACTTTCTGGTTAAGTTTGAATGACTTTCGTAAAGAGCAATGATTGGAATTCAAAGGATGACAAACCCTCAGAGTTGTGTCGCTCTGACACACTCGGGTCTGTTGTTCAAGATTTTATCAATGAAATGTACCTTTTTTTGAATGCACACTAGAAAACACTGGTTCGGTTCTTAGATATAACAGGATAATTTTATATGTTTGGGATCTTTTTGAGGTACCTGAATACCTACCTACTTATTTTTAGCGTATTTATGAATATTTTGAATTAGCTTTTATTTTTATATTTTCAGTTTTAATTTACATTAAGTTTTATTTTTTAAAATATTTATATGGTTCAATTTGAGTACTTTACTAGTTCAACTTAAACTTATTTATTTCAGTTAGTTGCCAAGGCAACATTTCAGATTTTTCAGCAAATATTTATTAATATAATATTTAGAATATATTGAATTAGGTTTTATTTTCATATTTTCAGTTTTCAATTAAATTTTATTTGCAGTTTTAGTATTTAGTATAGAATTTTTTTTATTTCTGTATGGCTTTAATTTAATTTAATTTTTAGTTTTAGTCATTTTACTACTTCAACTTCAACTTTTTAAATTTAGTTGCCAGGGCAACAATTCTAATTTGAAAGTTTTTAAAAGTTTTTTTTAATCAAATATTTATAGTATTTATTAATTATTTGAATTAGCTTTTTTATATGTATTTTTATATTTACGTTTTCGTTTTAATTTGATTTCAAGTTAAAAAAAAATATTTATATGTTGCTTTAAATTTGTTTTCTGCTTTTATTTTAATTACCAAAAATTATATTTTTAATAGTTTAGTTAACAACAAAATTGCTTCTGATATCTTAACTTATTGTTGATGCCGCATATATTAAACACACATTTTTATGCACGTTTTCGGAAATTACTTTTCTTTTTTTTTTTTCAAAATCTGATCGCTGCATCTTCATGCCATGAACATAGCTAAGTGATGACCTTTCGCACCTCATCAAAGAATCTGAGAAATGCCATTCACTAATGAGGCAAGGTGACTGGCTATTGGCATTTCCTTCGAAACTTTGACCAAGCAGTAAAAAATTGTGTAGCGGAATGCATGAGACAGTGAACGTGTACCTGCATTGGTGAAATCTTACACGTGACAAAGGAGAAGCAATGCTGGTCATGAAAGAAAGGGAAAAGCAGGACTTCTTTACATTGAAAGAGGTGTGAAGAGCACGAGGAACAAACTACAGAACCAAAAAAAGAATGAGTGGGGAAAGAAGGGATGTTTGAGCTGTTGGTAATCCCTTGAGAAACATGAAGCCGCTGTGCGGTTTGGTCATCAGTAGATCAGATGGCCTATCAAAGATCAGGACAGCCACTGGCGTCTTGCCTCTTTCCTCTCTCTTCCCTTATCTGCAATTGATTGTCAGTTCTAACCCCCAAGATTTCCATTCTCCACACCCTAGTAGACTTTCCTGTACACTTAGTAAATGGACTATAGTGTTGGCCCTACCCTTTATGAGGAAATGTCACCTTAGTTCTTCTTAGGGTTAGGGTTTGTTTAAACTATTAAACTTAAAACAGATTTTTGATTTTCGCCTGGCAAATGAGAAACCAAGTGAAAGGGATTTATTTATGCTTTTATTTATGCATTTATTGATTGATTGATTGTCATTTCCCTTATTTAGTTTACTATTATCAAAGCTAGCTTACCTTTACTCTTTAAAAAAACAAATATATTAATAACTGTTAAATGTACACTACTGTGTAAGAGTTTGGGGTCAGTAAGATTTTATTTAAAAAAGAAATGAATCATTTTTATTCAGCAATGAATAAAATTTAAAAATACTAGCCAAGGACATTTATAATGTTTCTTGAGCACCAAATCAGCATATGATTTCTGAACGATCGTGTGACACTCAAGACTGGAGTAATGATGCTGAAAATTCAGCCTTGTCATCACAGGAATAAATAACATTTTAAAATATATTTTTAAAAAAACATTTAAATTCTAAATATATTTGCATTATTCCTGTTTTAATGTATTTTGATAAAATAACTGCAGCCTCGGTGAGCATAAGAGACTTCTTTCAAAAATAATAAAAATCCTACTGACCTTCTGAACACTAGTGTAATTTTTAGAAACTAAATATTTCTCATTTTGAATATTCACTTTGAATTTTCATAATGTGCATTATAATGTTGTGATGCCTAAATTCACTTGTAGCCTTTATTTTAATATTGGTCATTTATCATCCATCAGCTATCATTTTAATATCCGTGCAACCCAAATGTCAGTTGTATAATAGATGTTTTCATCTTCTTGTAGAGCGAAAGCAAAGATGGAGGCAGCAATTAAAACCGTGGTGAGTGTCTACCTGAAGTCATCCAAGGGCAAGGAAAACCTCGGAGGGAAGGAGTTCCAGAGCCTCGTGAAGAACCAGCTGAAAAACATTCTGACGGTTAGAAGCTGCATTCAGTTTTGTTAAATCTAGCAACACTTTGTTTGATATTCATTCATCATTCATTGTTCCTTATTATCTGGACTTTGATGAGCTGAGCAGAAACCACAAACTTGTGTCCAAATAGTCATTTACCATGAAGAATGCTGCTGTGTTATTTGCTCCGGTGCCTCATTAAATTACATGTTTGTGCTTCGGACATGAATGAGAACTCAAATAGTGCACTTTCTTGTGGAGAAGTGTGTTATTAATCTTCTGCGGTTTATTCCATTAAAATGTGAAATGACAATTAAAACAAGCTGCAAACTTGCTTCATCAGTGATTAACATCTGAGGAACTTTGTGTTTAGGGCTCAGAGGACAATGAGGCAGTCAAAAACATGCGTCAACAGCTTGACAACAACCAGGATGGGAAGGTCAGCTTCCAGGAGTATATGAATCTGATTGGCTATCTGGCGCAGGCTGTCAGCGAACAGCGTTGTTTGGAAAACGAAACACAACCAGAGAGTTCAACCCAGGAGACGCAGGCTGAGGCGGCAGCCAATGCACAGGCAGAGCCGGCAGCCAATGCACAGGCAGAGCCGCTGAAGGCAGAGCCAAAGGCGGCAAAG